ATATATATATATATATATATATATATATATATATATATATATATATATATATATATATATCGAACCTCTCAAATCTTCATCTCTCTCATTCATTCTCACTTTCAAGTTTCAAACCCTAACCCTCCCTTCGTCGCCACTACCCGAGCAACCACCATCACCAACCACATCAATGACCCGACAGTCGAGTACCAATCACCAACCACCACCCCTCATCCTCTATCTCTCCTTAGTCCTCTCTCGACACTCACCTCTCATCTTCTCCTCTATATTTCCTCTTTTGAGTCTCAACTCAACACTTTCATCGTCGCCCAAGCAACCACTATCACCAATAGCAACGTCAGTGACTCAACAATCAAGCATCGGTCACTGTCCACCACCTCATCTCTAAGACTCAAACTCAGCTCTTTTGCCGATGTTCAACGCCTCAACCCAAGCTAATACCAAAAAGATTGCAAGAGTGCCAAGTTGTCAGCAGTCTAGCATCACCGGCCACCACTGCCATCGCATATGCACTGGTGGAATGCATGATTGTTGTCATCGCACTTGGCCCACCGCCTGGAAAGTCTAAGATCTCCATCTCAATCCCCTGCCTCTTTTCTCAAGGTAAATTGATTTCTGAATGCTGATGAAGAATATTCATTTTCCTATAGAATAGATTACAGATTTACAGTGATTTAGATAATGGTTTTATGGTTTTTGGTAATGCTAGTGTGCTACGAATTTTTTTATCCTAATCCTAATATCATTTTATTTAGATAATGGTTTATTGGTTTATGGTTATGCTACAGGTTTTTTTTACCCTAATCCTAATATCATTTGATCTAGATAATGGCTTATCGGTTTATGGTTATTATCTAGATAATATCATTCTTAAATGAAATTGTAGTTCTTTATTGATTCTCAGTCACAAATGAGAAGCACCTCATTAGATTTTTTAGATGTAGAGATGCTTAGATTACAGTTTTTTTTCTTAATCCTAATTCCTAAATGATATTGTAGTTATTTATTGATTCTTAGTCACAAATGAGAAGTACATTAGATTTTCTAGCTTTAGAGATGCTAGATTACAGATTTCAAACATGCAGATAATGCTTATGTTGCAAATTTTCTGGTCCTAATTCCTAAAGAGTAGATATGACTTTACAAGATACCTAATCAAACATAACCGGCCATTTAACATGGAAGAGCATGAGTTTCTTGATATTTGTGCTACTAGTCTTAATCTCATGTTTAAAATGGTTTCACGCAATACAATTAGGAATGATTGCATGAAAATCAATGAGGATGAGAAAGAGAAGCTTTATGGCATTCTTGATAGGCTTAATTCCTCGGTTAGTCTCACTATTGATATGTGGATGTCAAGGCAAAATATTGGATATTGTTGTTTAACTGCACATTACATTGATGATAAGTGGTAATTGAGAAAGAAGATTATAGGTTTTTGAGCCATTAGAGAGAAGCATGATGTTGTAAACCTTACTAGAGTCATCAAATATCTTATTTTGCATTGGAACCTTGATAGTAAAGTAATGGCTTTTGATGTTGATAATGCCTCTATGAATGATGTTGTAATTAGAAACATGAAGGAATGGCTTTTTGGGTAGGGTAAACTTCTTTTTTCAAGGGAATTGTTCCATGTGTGTTTGTAAAAGATGGGTTGGATGTTGTTAGGCACTTGATGGGAAAAATCAAAGAACCAATCAAATATCTACAAGCTTCAAGCCAAAGAAATCAAAAATTTTAAATGACAAAAAATCAATTGAAGATTCGTAATAAAAAGAAGTTGGTTTTAGATTGCCCTACAAAATGGAATGCAACCTATGATATGCTCAAAACTGCACTTGAGTATAGGGCTGCATTTGCTCGATTGGAACAAATTGATAAAGAATATAATTTTAATCCATTTTTTGAGGAGTGGGATATTAATTAAGTTGTTTGTAAATGTTTAGAATATTTTTATAAGGCAACTAATGCATTTTTAGGGACTACATATCCAACATCCAACTTGTTTTTTCCCGATATTTGTAAGATTTGTGTGCAAATTGACGAGTGGATATTGATCAAGTATGGTTATATTTAAACAATGGCTATGAAAATGTTGGGAAAGTTCAAGAAATATTGGGATGAGATTAATTTACCTTTGGTAATAGCATTGGTTATTGATCCAAAATACAAGTTGGCATTTGTGAGGTATAATGTGCATATGGTTTATGGTTTATGGTTGTGAGAGAATATGAAGTTGCAAAAGTGCGTGAATGCCTTTGTAACCTTTACTCTCATTATGCAAATTATGATACCTCATCCACTTTTAATGAAGAACAATCCCCTTTTTTTTCGCACACAAAAACAGATTCATTGATTAGAAAATAATTGTACATGATTGTGGATAGTAGAATGATATGCTAGAGTGACTTTACCCTTACAAGCAAAGTGATTGTGGGTAGTCCCCTTGAATCATCCATAACAAGTTCAGCTTCGGGTGTGATGCAAGAGAGTAAGAAGAAATATATCAAAGGCTTTTAAAAATGGGGCACAAGTAATGAAATAACAACATCAATGTTCTATTACAGAAAATCAGAATTGGACCAATACTTGGAGGAGTCCTTGATTCCAGAAATGCCAGATTTTAATGTGCTGAATTAGTGGTTAATTAATTTTTCAAAGTTCAAAATTCATTCGAAAATGGCCCGTGATGTCCTAGCAATTCAAGCAACCACTATAGCATCAAAGTTGGCATTTAGTATAGGTGGTAGAGTGTTGGATCCTTATCGGTGTTCATTGCTTCCAAAAACAGTAAAGGCTTTGATTTGTGCACAAGATTGAATTGAAGCACTTCCTAAACCAAAAACTCGATATAAGTAACTATGTTCATATATATATTTTTTAGTATTAAGCTTATCATGTTTTTAAATGAGTGTATTAATCTTATTCTTTGTTTCCCTTTGCATGTTTTAGTTTCTTTTGATGAAGTACCTATTTCTTCTATGTCTCCTATTGGTAAATATATTGAAAGTTCGTTGACTCCATCCTCAAATCCATGTGCAAGTGCAAGTGCAAGTGCAAATTTTGATAGAAATGGTATTCATGCAAGTGGTGCAACCAATTAGCATATGTAATATTGAAAATAATTTTCATTCTTTTAAATATTTATGAATTATGATTGATGTTTTCCAAGATTTGGACTAACATGTGGTTGTATACTTTTCTTGTTCTTTATTTATTTTCCTTTTGTAGGTTTAAATTGTGGTCATTTTCCTTGGAGACTTGAAGCCTTGAACTATCTTTTAAACTTTTTTTATGGTAATTGTATGGCTAAATTGGTTATTTTAAACTATCTGAGACTAATTTGATATATGCTAGTAAGTTTTTTCTTTTTTGGTTTTGTTGGGTTGACACTTTAGTGTGGCTA